GATTTGAGCAGGCGTGACCTTAATCATATATATCATTATTTTATGTACACGCAATGCTTGTTCTTCAGGAACAGATAAAAACTTCTCTATTTGATAAAAGCAGCCTTGTTTTTTTGCCAAATACTGAGGTGGGGGGCAAGAAGAAGCAAAGCTGTGCTTGGGTTGCAGTAGTCCCCCTGCAAAGGGGTTGCTTTGTGTGTGGCTTGTGCCCTCTCACTATCACTTCAGTTTAACCTTCTTCTGCTGTTGCCTCTCAGTTTTCATTGCTGAAATTATCAGGTGTTTCGCATCACTTGATAATTGTGGTAATTGCAGTTACAAATTGCCTCTGTTTCCCTGGATAGTCATAACAGTGCTGGCAGGATGCATTACGACAGCAGGAAGTGCTATAGATGGAGGAAAGCATCCCTGATGGCTTTGAAGCACTGCCTGTATGTCAGTTGACGTTTTTTTCCTGAAGAAAGGAACAGGTGCTCTTACTGTTTCTAGAAGTAAAAGAAAATAACTTGCAGTGTATGAGTATGGGATAGTTAGAAGGACACACCTGCCCTTCTGTAGCATAATCCAGTGTTTTGATAGCAGTCTGTGCAGCTTAGTTTTCATCAGCATCATTCTAGATCTTTTGTCACTTGCTCTCTCCAGTCTGCAGGAGCAGAATGCTTCTTTGGTTATGCAGAGCTTGAAAAAGCTGCTGTGGCATAGCCAAGGGCCTCAAAATGTTTTCCTATGGACTGGCCATAGGAGCGTGCTGTAGTTCTGGTCTTAAACTCAGGTCTTGCTTCACCTGTTGGTGATGCTTCAGGTGAAGTGCAGAAGAAGGACAGATGCTGGGTAGCTTAAGTAGTGCTGTGCTTCAGGTTGCTGGGACGTGCTCCAAACTCAGGCCGGGTGCTCAGTGCATTGCATTCACCAGCATGTTTGTTTTCAGTCCTGACTTAGCAATTACAGCTGGGAAGGATTTGGGGGCTATTTGCAATACTGAAATTGTGGATGTTATTTAAATCCAGAGATGGTCTGTAACTTCAGCTGGAGGGTGGAAACCCTTCTATTTCCTTGCTTTCGCTGGATTGAAACTAAACATTTAAACATGTGGAAAAAATTTAAATAAGCAACTAGTGGCTCTTTAGAAACATTAAGCATATATTTAGTAAATACAACGGAGATTATAGACGCAGAGAGGATGAATATGTATTTTGGCATGTACTGCTCCTTCAGCTTAGTCACAGCAGTGTGCTTTGCCCTTTCTATGTTTTGCAATTTACCTCGTGGTGCCAAGGGATGGAATCCAGTGGCTTTTCAGCTTGCAGGCTGTTGATGGCCCAATGAGGACTAATTAAAAAACCCCACCAAAAAAAAAAGCAACTTGACAATGGGTCTGCATCTTTACATGTAAAAATGATTTTTTTTTTTTTTTTTTGCTAATTGTTATTATTAATTTATAGGGAGGGAGTCTTGGGAATGAGTGAGTCCAGCTAATGGAGGAATTCCCCTTTGTATACTAAAGGCAGCATAATGAGCTTGGGAGGAGGAGATCAACTGAAAGCAGATTTTCACACATCTTCCTTGCCAGAAAACTTGGGTGACTGAGACAATGTGTTAGGAGTTACTCTTATCTTTAAAAGGAGAACAACTATTGGAATGAACAGCTACAGTCAGCTTGGTAATATCATCGTGCCAGAGTGCTACAAGTAGAAACTCCTAGGAAGGTCAGGAAATCACAGGGTTGTAACCAGCAGCACAGAGTCCAGTTGGAGGCCTGTAACTAGCTGTGTTCCCCAAGTGTTTGTACTGGGTCTGGTCTTGTTTGACATCTTCAGCAATGGATGGAAAGGATAAAGTTTACCCTCATCAAGTTTGCTGGTGATACAAAGCTGGAAGGAGTGGCTGACACACCAGAAGGCTGTGCTGCCATTCAGCAAGATCTGGACAGACTGGAGAGCTGAGCGGAAAGTGATGTGGTGAGGTTCAACAAGAGCAAGTCCCACACCCAGGGAGAAATAACTGCATGTATCAGTACAGGTTGGGGGCTGAGCTGCTGGAGAGGAGCTCTGCAGAGAAGGATGCTTTCCTATGCAACCTGCTGTAGGGAACCTGCTGTAGCGGGGGGTTGGACTCAATGATCTCCAGAGGTCCCTTCCAAACCCTACATTTCTGTGTGTTTGAAACACGTTTTAGGATGGTGATGGTGAGTGTGTGTATAGGTGTGGGGGTGAGTTGCCCCATTGCAAGGGATCGTAGAATCACTACGGTTGGAAAAGACCTCTAAAATCATCCAGTCCAATCGTCCACCTACCACCAATATTTCGAATTAAATCATGTCCCTCAGTACAATATCTAAATGTTTCTTGAACACCTCCAGGGACATCTCCCTGGGCTGCCTGTTCCAGCTCCTGACAGCTCTGGGAGATGTATTTCCTAATATCCAATCTGTAGCTGTTCTACTTTTTTTTTCTCTTTGCAAAAATGCTTGCATCCTCAGTAGGTTTTCTCGTCTTGGAGCAGGATTGCCTCAGCAGTCTTAGAAAGAGGAAATCTAGAAAATTTCTTGCATAATATTTTGGGTAAACTGTATGGTTGATGAAACAGCTGGGCCTGGCTTCTCATTTCCCTTCTAGGAAGCGGATGGAAGAAGCCTTGATTTCATTAGTGATGAAAGGAGCTGTGTAACAGAAGACCATGTTTGCTTACTATCTTCACAAAGTTTCTTCTAATTATTTAATGCCAGGAAACTTGGTTTTCTGTTACTACAGCAAAACCTTTACTACAGCAAAAACTGATTGAACGAGGCTCAGCTCCTCAAGTTCATCATGGAAAAAATATTACTTTTGGGAGGGGAGATACAGCAAACGTGTCCCTGTAGGGTGACCAATTGCAGTATCACAAGAGAGTAATCCTGCATGGTTTGTACCAGCCAGCATCCAGGACACTCTAGCTCTGCTGTCTTATAGTTTAGCAGATAAACTGTTGTGGAGCATGAGGGCTTATTTGTACAGCTTTCATGCAGTAGGTAAGCCTGGCATGGCACAGCATTGCTGAGCAAATCTGCCTGGACTCAGATTAGCACAAAACCCATAGGCTGGTGGTGGTTTGCATCTGTTGCTGCTGCTGTCAGTCCTTTAAGCACTTCTATAGCAAACTCCATGACTGCTTCTACAAAAACACTCAAGTCTTGGGCTCTTTGGATGTGCTAGCACAAAACAGCCTTCAGAGGTAAGGGTGCCACCTCTTGGAGTGCTTCAGGCTGTGCTGTGTCATCTCTTAGTTCTTTAAATGCTGGCTGAGTGGCAGCAGTAAGGTCCATTTCTGCTCAGGTTGATGCATGCTGTATCTGCTATGTCTAACGTTCTTAAATCAATCCTGACTGAACAAGGCTGTGAGCTGTGGTTAATGCTCCCTGAGGCAACTCGTCCCAGTGCAATTTAGGAAGACTCCTTCAAAATCAGGAGCTATTTCAGGCATGTTTGCTTTGTCCACTGCCTGCAGGTAAACCACGGCACTAACTGCTTTGCAAGCCTCTCCTAGAATGGCTGTGACAGCAGACTTAGCAGTGTATCTCCCAGTGTGGAAAGAAATTGCCCATATGAGGCTTGCTAAATGGGTGAGCACATGCCAGAGCTCTTTCTGAATTTGAGATGAGGCTGATGTTGGACTGGGACAATTTATTCCCCATCTGAGGGTGGAACAGCGTTCCATTTATGTGTGGTTAGTCTGACACTTGCACTTTGTGGTTTTCTTATTTAAAAAAGAGAAGCTGGAAAGGAGGAAGGGAATGGGAAAGGTGCAGAAGTGGAGGACAGGTTACTGATGCCTTATCAAATGCAAAGGAGATATGTGGAGTTGTTTAACATCTCTGGTCTGGGGGTCAGCAGCTTTCAGTGTGATGCTAGAGCTAAATGAATAGCTCTACAGCAACCTGTATGCACTTTTCCTGTAGCCAAGTGTAAGATGGCCAGGCTGCAGTGCATGGAGTATACACAGCTGGGAAAGTGCATCACAAGAAATGTGTCCCTCCTGTGTGGGGCAGCAGCAGCAGCTCAGTGTCACAGGAGAGTTTTAACCATATTCTGTGCTGATGGAGATGTGTCTGAAGAAGGTTGGTGGGCTGGTGCTGTAAGTTCAGTTATTTTAGTTGTTGTTTTTCCTATTTTCTGACTGTGCCATCTGCAAACTTCATTAAGTTTAGGGCACGGATGCTGAGTGTAATAGTTTCTTGTTGGTATCCTTGAATTTATGTGATGGGGAAGATGCTCCTGTGAAATTCTGATGTTGAAATAAACAAGGCGTATACCTTATTTTTTGTGATACCCTATTAATGCAAGGGCAGCCCCCCACTTTTTTTTCCCTTCCTCATGACAGCCAATGTGTAGCTTTAAAGCATTCCTATTTCCTTCCTGGCTTACAGAAATGAGTAACATACGTAAACAGTGCTTCTCCAGTTGCTGTGATGCTTATCCAGGTGTCTGAGCAGTTGGGCAGTGTGCATCACCAGTGGTGGTATCAAGGGGGAGGAATCTGATGGTGTTTAGCCACTTGTTCTGCATGGAGTCATTGCTAGAAATAGTTACAAAACTGGTAAAGGATTCTAGAAATTACTGGGAAAATCCTAGTGCTTCCTAGAAATTACTTAAGGAGTAGAGTGGCAGAATCCTGGAAATGTACAGGAGGTGCCAGAAATATCTGAACCCTGTCACACGTTCAGAGAGACACAACAGTTCCTGGAGGCTCAAAAAGTCCCGAGAGACTTCTGACTTCTAGGAATTCCTGCTGGGAAATACAAGGCACTATTACCAGAAGCCAGAATTCCTGTAGTAATCCATCAAATTTGATCACTCTGCTAGTAATTTCTATAATTCATGAGGAATAGGAAAGCTATGTTTTTGAGTACAAACTATTGCATGTGGATATTAATCTGTTCTCCTTCACTAAACCACGTGGTTTCAAAATCTCAGTGTCCTGCATATATTTCTTACACTTCTTTATTTTTTTTTTTCCCCTCACAGTCCTATTTTGTTACGGATTATGACCCTACAATCGAAGACTCCTACACCAAACAATGTGTGATAGATGAAAGAGCTGCACGCTTGGACAGTAAGTAGTAGAATACAAACTGCATCGCTTGGCTGTCACGTGTTATCTCTTCCACATGCCATCTATTTACTTTGTTTCAAAAGTTTCAGTTCCCCCTTATCAGTGATTTCTTCAAGGACAAAACAGCACCCCTCCCAACACCACCCTCCTGCCTCTCTGTATGTTTTACAGCTGCATCAGCGGGATCCAAATTAGTGAAGTTTCATTGGACTCTGTCTTCTAGTTTGGTTGGTCTTGAATTGTTCAATCGGTCCCAGGATGTGTTGTGAACCTTAGTAAAAATCCAGTAGGATCTGTGCAGAAGTAATTTCTGCTCTGCTATTTGTGAGAGGCTCTTGTAGTATCCTGTCAAGGAGGATTTTTACTTTTGGTTTATGTTCTTAAAACTTGAACTGTAGTAATTAATGTTTTGTTATGTTCAGTTCTGGATACAGCTGGCCAAGAAGAATTTGGAGCCATGCGTGAACAGTACATGAGGACAGGAGAGGGTTTTCTCCTGGTTTTCTCAGTCACTGATAGAGGAAGGTAAGCCTGATGTCAATCAAATTAAATCAACAAAAAATATTCCATCTTTATATCTGCGACTAGTCCTAAATTGCTGCTTCTCATCCTTCACTGGGAAAACAAACAAACAAACCTGTAATGTTCTGCAGTGTAAAATGCTTTCTGCGCAGAAAACCCTTTGAAGCAAATTGATGAACTGAAAGGGTCTGTCCCTTAGAGTAGGTGACTTGAGCATAAGGAAGCACAGCCAACTCTGTTCAAATGTTCCATTATAGCCCAGTGTACTAGTTTCTTACAGGTGACAGACTTACAGTAAGGGCAGCGTGCTGTTATGTCCCAGTTCCTAGGAAATATCTCCTTGCTATGTGCTTGTTGACATCCAGTGGCTGTGGGTTTCTGGGCAGAGATGTCCAACTCAGGCTGTGTCTCTGTGCTTCTGCAGGAAGGTGCTTGCTGCCTACTTCCATGAATTGACTGGAATCTGTATACCTGTAGAGCTGAGATGAAATACAAGTTTTTTGGCAGCTGAGAACTTGCTCAGATAGCTTCCCATCATTGTAAGAATAGGAAACTGCTGTGTATAAGCAGTCACTGTTTTCACTATAATACTCTTTCATGGAGCTAGCTAGATATGTAGAGGTGAAGGAGAAGTGGGCAGGGAGCTATCATATTTGCTTTGAGTTGTAATCGAAGAGGAATAAAATGAGGGGGAAAAATTCTTTGCAATATTATTTTCCTTACAGATTCAGTATGGACCCTAATAACTTCTGATTATGCTAGAAAAAATCTCTCTATAATGAGAATTAAAATAAGTATTCTATGGAATGTACACACTTCCCTTATGAATGCTGCAGAAGTACAGATTCATCTTAATGTACTGTCAGCAGAGACTTTACTCTCCTATCAGAGATACTTGTCTGGTTTTAAGACATACTGAACACTTGTCTTAACATAAATATTTTTGTAGCAGGGGGCTGTTCTAAAATCACCATGTGAACTCCTTGGCTTGTCTGGAAATCTTAAGTTCTTGTTTGCTCTTTTGGCTAAGGATGTGCCTTGATCTTAAACAGATCTTGTCATGTTAAACCTGCATATTACTTTCCCTTCTAAAATCCTTATGAGACTGATGAGGAGCAGAGTTGTTTTTGTTCTGATATCCATTTCATTCAAGACTTGCCTTGCCTGTCTGTGAAGCATCTGCTAGAGGTGTCTGTCTAGTGTGGATGTGACGTTCTGAACCACGAGGTCTGTTTGAATTAGTTGGTAACTTTCACCAGTTTCCTCCAGTTGCTACAGACTAAGTGGAATACTAACACTGGAGGTCCAGGTATGCCTAGTGGCATTCCTTCTTTCTACTTCACCTTTCCTCTCGTAATTGCTTTAAAAGGCTGAGGTGTACTGTACTGTCATATCTGCCTGTGTAAATTTTCTACCAAAATATAATTGTAAATGGCTTCAGGCTGTATACCTGGAATTAATTATAGTGATTGGGATGTCTCTGAGCTAAAGAAAACTTGACTGTTTACCAGCATCAGTACTGAAGCTCTATGTGCAAATGATGAAGCTTTAACTGATTTTACTGAAAATGATGGATTTTTTTCTCTCAAAAAATCAATGTTTAGGCCAGAATTAGCTGCATTAATATACTGCATTGCTGGAATACTTCTGTCTAAAAAGCATTACTACCAAATAAGATACACTTGGTGACTTTAGAAGCTTTCTGCTCATGTACCCTTCCTGTTTTTTTCTTCAAGATATAATTTTTTCCTTCCCTCCCAATCTCCCTACCAAATTCCTGGATGTAGCTGTGGAGGTTGCTAGCTGAAATACTGATCACAGATGTTTCCAGGCTGCCTTTTGAATATTCTAGGTAGAGTTGAACCCAAAATCCGCATTTATAGATTGAGCTATGGTTGCCTGATTCTCTTCAACTGGTTGGCATCCTGGCCCCTCTAAAGTGGGAGAGTGTTTTGCTTAACCTGTGGTCCAAATGAAGTCCATTCCTTTCTGCTGCCAGATTTAGTCAGGATTTTTTTAGTTTGAGTACTGCACGATTCTCTGACCCGTCATGCTGTGACGCTGGGCTCTTTGATGGAGCGCCTGCAGCTGTCTGTGCTCGTGTGGCATGGCAGGGCAAGTCCCAGGAGGTGATTCACCTTTCCTGAACTTGCGCCAGAGCCTGAGAATCTATGAATTAGTGCACTGATGCTCTGTTTTTCTTTTACAGTTTTGAAGAAATCTATAAGTTTCAACGACAGATTCTTAGAGTGAAAGATCGTGATGAGTTTCCTATGATTCTAGTTGGTAATAAAGCAGATCTGGACCACCAAAGACAGGTAATTAATTTCTTTCTAGTTACTGCTAGCTCTCTTAGGGAAACTTCACTATTTTTCTCATGATAATAGAGTGGGAGCAAGAAACAAATGGGAAAAAAAGAAAAGATACCATATTAGCTAACTGTAATGCAAGAAACAACTGTACTCAGGGACTGTACTTGGATCTTTGAAGTAGGATGGCATTCCACATGCAGCAGATCTGTCTGACTCATGGGTGATGTTAGACCAAATCTATTCACATACAGAGGTTGAGAGCTTTGTCATGGCTCAGGCATGAATGTATGTCATTCTTCCTATCTGTTACTCACCACCGTGCACTGTGCCAAGCAGAGCACATTCCAGCACTGCCGTGCTGTTACTGCTGGCTGCTGTGTTTCGTATGAATGAGGAGCCATTCGTCTCTTTCCATTTGACCACTTGTCTTCTGCATAACTGACTCAAAGCTTTGGAAGCTGAAACTATAGTAATACAGCGTCTTCCCATATTTGAGTACCTTAAAATTTTGGAATCAGTAGATTTCAACCTCACTTCTAGTTGTAAGAGAGCTTAAAAGATTTGATTAAATGGATTAGATGGATTTTCTTTATTTACTCTTGGTTTTCATAAATCAAATTGGTTTGAACTGAAATGGAAATAATTGTACTAAACCAGCGGGGAAGGAGCAGGTGTCAAACTTCTGTCATTCAACTTATTTCAGAAGTTGTATTTTCTCCTGAGACAGTGAGATAACTCTTAAAGCTTTGGTAGCAAACGTGATTGATTTTTACCTGAAAGTAAATTAAAAGCTATTGAGACTTCCCTATTTTAAAAGATTAACAAGGAGAGAACAACTTCAGTGCTAAGATCTTCAGATTTGTTTACCTGTCTTTAGTCTGTCTGTGAGTGTTTACATAAATATTACTCTTTGCTTAATAACATATTGCCTGTGTTAAGAACCAGTGGCTTGAGCATGGAAACATTTGACTTGAAACACATTAGTATTTTAATGGTTTAATACACAATTGTTGAAAGATTTTTCTTGAAGAGCACTTGAAGCCATGGAGTTCAAAAAGAAGATTCTGTTAAATACTTTCCCTTGATTGTCACACCCTCTCTATCCAGGACCTGAGTATAGGAAGGTCATTACAAAACTTAAGACTGATGCTGAAAGATGCTGTCTCAAAAGTTGGAGTTGGACTCTGATCCTTGTGTATCCCTTCCAAAATGGGATGTTCTGTCATGAAAGAAGTTTTAACAGAAGCTCTGTGCAGACTCATCAGAAGTAACTTCACACGTTCACACATGCACAGAGCTATGTAGCTCCTGTCCCTGAGACAGAAGTGGAATGTATTCCTGCTTCACTTACCATCGTACCCCCATCAGAATTACTGGATTTAACCTTGCATGTCCTGGAACATGAGGCACTTCACACGACAACAGCTGTGCATTAAACTGTGTAGATACAACTGAGCTCTTTTGAAAACTATAACAGCTGAATGACAAACTTCTAAATACTGTGGGAGGGAAATAACATCATCTGTCAACCCACATTTTCAGAGGATACCTGCAAATGTAAATAGTAATCCTGGAGATCATTCCTAGAAATACTTTGATCTCCTCTATCCTCCTAATGTTACAACACAGCCTGTAACTTATCAGCTTCTCCTTTAAAAGAGGTGCCCTCCCTTTTCCCCTGCTAGTCCTTCCATACTCGATGACTAGTTTCTTTTACAGAAAGCAGTTCAAAGCAGCTGCTTCCACAGTGCCCAACTTTGCAGTTCTCTTCCTACATCTGAACACAAAAGCATGTATCACCAGAAGCATTTTTATTGTTGTTTTCGTGGCTTCATTAATTGGTCTTAGATGCTGGGAAGCATAACTCCTGGTACTGCCACGCACATCATTTATGTGCAAATTGGTAGGTTTGTCACTTTTGTCCTGGGTCAGGACTTAATCTTCATTAATCTGTAGCACTTGCAGGTTTGCTGAAACAGCTAGCTGTGTGTTTTTAACTCTTCTGTGCCCCTTTCTCTGTCATGCGATGGGGCTCTGGCCTTAGGTCAGCCCATAGGAATGATTTGAGGATGCTGAGGTGACATAATAGTTCCTCAGAAGGGAGGGGCTTCCCTCCTTCTTGACTTGACATTTGTGCTCTTTCCTGTGTTGGTGTTAGCACTCACCCGAGGCACTCTGCAAGCTGAATCATCTCTTTAGACAGGGAGAAAAACAGACAAGCTGGAAGGGCTCTGATACGTGTGCAAGTGAAATCAGCTCATGGAGAGATGGAGCGAGTGCCAGAGCTTGAAGCATGGGAAGGGGTGGGACTGTGGCTCTGAGCAGAGCAGGGAGGAGTTGGGGTGGGGGGAAAGAAAGTGAGACCTCGCCTTTTGGCAGCAGTTAGCAGTGAGATGTTATCAGCTGGATGTTAAACAGCAGCCAGATCCTCTGCTCCATCACGTGAGCTCAGGCTGCCGGCATCCATTCAGTGCACTGGCTCAGCTTGCTGACCTGGCTGAAAGCAAGTCCTGCCACTGCATCTTCCCAAGTATGGAGAACTCCAGCCTGCTGCAGGCTGGCTACACAGGCAGCATGAGGGAGGGGCAGGAGCCAAGGCAAAGCTCTCTCCCCCACCTCCTGAGCCCTGTGGTGTGGGATGTTGCTCTGGGCTGTAGCTTGTGGGCATGCAGAAAAGTGCTGGCCCTCTGCCAGTAGTGCTTTCAGAGATTCAGAAAGATGAATTTTTAGAACCAGACTGCTTGTGATCACCATCTACCTTTTTCTTGAAGACAGAAGGCAAGGTGGTGAGCTAACAGAAAATGTGCTCTGAGAATGTAAAACTAAGTTAAAGGAAGTTATTTAGCTTGTGTTTTGGTCAACTCGTGATGCTTATTGCAATTAACACAGATTTTTCTGCATCTGGAGAGAGTTAAATGTGTATGAAAATGTTTAGGATGTCTCAAGGGTCTAACCACACCTCCATGCAAGGAGGTGAATTGTGTAGTTCAGACAGAGTGCTATCATTATGATACCATAAATTTGGGAGCAAATAACTGACAATCCTAATGCAGTGCTGACTGCTGCTCAGGAAATACGTGAACTGCACGGTACTGCAGAAGTGCCCAGGCTCTAGTATGATCTTGATGAAACCTCAATGGCATGCTGAAGGTATAGCTTAAGATAGCAGCTGTAATAGAAGTAGGTTGACTCAAATGTTCTTGTAAGAAAATAAATGAAATAGGAAGTTTGAAACAATAGTTTACTGCAGTAATAGATGTAACTAAATGGAATTAAGAAGACTTGTTGTTTGTGTAGCACAGGAGGTGAAGTCCTGGATATCCACCCATTTGGCTGACAAAGAAAGCTGATTTATTAGAGGAAGAGCAAGCATTAATCTTTACAGTTTTTTTGTACCATAAGAATAGAATCACTGATATTTCCATATTCCCTCATCAGTCATGGGTTAGAGACACATCTCTGCTCTTCCCTTGAAGTCAGTGCCATGTAACACTATCTTAAATGGGTTAATTCTGCACACCACAGATAGCATTGGATGCTCCTGCAGTAAGGCAGTTCAGCAGAGCTGTATAACAATAAGTGCTGCCAACAGGGGAGCAGGCTTGTCAGTGCAATGTGTGTGACTTTTTGAAGATAACTGCTGGCTTAAATTGGGTCAAGTCTGCTCATTCCCCAGATGGCAGGGTTTCAAGGAAAATCCAAGTTGCAACAGGAAAATGCTTGAGTTTCATTCAACACTTGTTTCAGATTTTACGCCGTTACTGATCTAATACAATGAGCTGGTGTTAACTTACCTGTGTTGCTGAATGCATTTAAAACAAGACTTTAAGGAGAGGTTGTCTTGTCTTTATTCTATGCCTAGACAGATGATCAGCAAAGCCAGTGATGCCTGGCAGGTAGTCCTGTGGTTGGACCTTTCTCTGCATGAGCTTGGATACTAGCAAACAAGTAGTTCATAGCTTGCTTTTGCTGTTGCAAGAGTGGCTTGACCTGAGATGTCTATCAGTGGCCAGGTGTAGTGATGTCTTTGATCTCACAGAAGGATCATACCTTCAGGTTTTGCCACGGCTTGCTTGCTTTCTGACCTCTATAAATACCAAGCAATCAGCCATCTGATGCAGTAGTTGAATACAGCAAGCTGGTCTTTGATTAGGTGTCATTGCTTTATAACCAGACTGTGTGTGCCACAGGGTTTCTTGGGGTCTCTCTTGGGAGAGGAATCACTGTCACCTTCTGGCACCAATCCAACGTAGCCCTTTGTCTTTGCAAGTACAGGGAGAAGGTATGCAGGCAGTGTTAAGTCAGGCAGCATTGTAGAAGTTCTTTAGGTGGAGGAAAGAGTGGAAATGTCAGAAAGGAGTCTATGTCTAACAATTCTCAGATACAATAATGTAGAGGGAGAGCAGTCTGAGATCCGTTCACAGGGTTCTTGCACGTGTTGAAATGGAAACTGATTCAGTAAGAATGCTGTTACGTAGGGAGTTGGGGGATAAGCTTTTCCATGTTTGACTTGCTTGTTTACATCCATTAGAGTATTTAATTTGAGTAACTTCTACCGACAGTATCTGAAAGCAAATAGTAAAATACCTAAAACAAAGGCTAAGCATTGCAGGGGATGCCCCTTCATATTCACAATTAAGATTATTGACACAAAGATTGTCAATGCAGAACCAACACACCCAGTCTATCAGAAATTCTTTCTGGAAACATAAATTTGAGTATTCCTTGAAGAAAAAAAATGTTATTTTGATTTTACTAGTGTCCTTTGATCTCTCTTATCTTCCTTACTGGAAAGTCTATCACGGTTGTTATGTCTAAGCAGGGAGTATGGAGAACGTGAGAGTGTAAACTCATATTTTTGATTTCTACCATTTCTATGTTTGCTTTTCCAGCAACTTCCTCAGCTTTGAAAGCAGATCCTGTATGCTCTGGCCTCTAATTTACTGCATGAGCACTGCAAATGCTTCCATAGCGTGCCCAAAACAAACAAACACAAATCTAAATTGATTTTGTTGAGGTCGTTTACATTGACTGCAAGCTGCTTCACAGCATTCTGGTAAAATTAGATAAAATGACAATAAGATTACTTTGAAATTAAGCAGTTACAGATGTTCTAGCAAAAACAACAAGGGCTCTAATGTTGCATCCATAATGTTGTGTATGCAAACTTTTGGGAAAGTGTAGTTTCACTTTATTACATTAGTTTCTTACAGCTACATTTGTTCAGTATCTCTGATGTGCTTTTGATACAATAACGAAGAAAATAGTGATGACATTGGTTTAAAGACCAGGTTCAATTGCTCCATGCTTTCTTTCATAGCTATTGAGTTTTATTTTACTTTAATCTTCCTGGGGCTACAGTAGGCTGTGCAGGAATGAAGAAAAGTGAACAGGTTTTGCAACTGTTGTGTTGGTACCTGAGTTATTTTTGTCTGATGAGTGCGATAAAGAAGCATCAAAGTTTCTGAAAGTCTCCATGCAAACCTTGAGGGATTCTGCAATGTCATTGACATGCCAGAAAACAGCTGAGAGTGTTTCTCAAAATGCAGCTCTGGAATGAGGACATTTCAACAATTTGGGGCTGGGGGAGGAGATGAAAATGGAGCAAAAATCTCGAGTATCATTTGGTTTTCAGGTAGTGATGGAAAATGGAAGGATCCCAGTCATTTGCTCTTTGTGCCCTGCTGTTAAAAGGGCAGGTACAATAGATGGTAGTGGGGTTGTGTTGCAGTGCAAGTGGGGTGCCAGAGACAGAGGAGTCAGATGTGCTGAGATGCTGTGAGAGAGGGCTCTCAGGCCTCGTATGCAGCTGTAGGAAAGTATTCTGCATGTTGCAAGGCACTTCTGCATCTTGCACTGTGCTGGGTGCTCACAATGATGTTCTTCTAATTCTTTCTGCTTCTGTATTCTTCTGCTTCTGTATAGTTTCTTGATCTCAGCGTGCATCTGACTGCCTTTTCAGAAACAAACTAAAAATAAACCCTCAGGGTCTTTGTTCTCATTATATCAGCCCTGTGCGTGCTGGTTTGACATATTTCTGTGAAAGCAGTGTATAATCTTTGACACTTCTACCACTAGCTGCCGCCTTGGCGAGATCTGTTGCGCTTCCTTTTATCACTGAAAGCTGCCCTTTCCTCCCTGTTCTGGGGGCAACTTCCTGTTGAAGGTTTTTTCAATGCCTCGCACTGCTCAAGATGACCTGTCATCTATCCTCTCTGTTTTCAACTTCATCCAAAAACATGTAGCCATCTCCTTTGGTTTTGCACTGTGACCAACTTATTCCTTTCTGTATCGGAAGTCTCCTTGCTTACTGCCTTCTGCTTCACCATTTCAAGTGTTATTCCAGCTCTTTATGACGCTCACCATTTCCTCTTGATCTCCCCTTTCTCCTCCCAAGAAGACAAGAGACAGTTTCATTAATATCTCTTAAGTGGGGAGACATATGTATATCTAGACCTCCTGTGATTTAAGCCACTTATAACTGGTTGTCTTAATATTTTGATGAGTCATAAATAGATCTATAATGATTCAGAAGCTAACCCACGTCTTTTTTTTTTTAAAGTTGTAATCTTATTTTTTCTCTAGATTTGTGTGGGCCAGGGAGAGTTGAGTTCAGCATTCCAAGCTCTTGTAGTAACCCCAGAAATCTTGACTCAGGCAGTTGCTTTGAGGGGTTCTTGTGTGGTTAGGAAGGGAAACTTGGTCTTGTTATGCAGAAATGAAGTGAATGGGACGCAGCTGCAGTGGAGGAAATTCCTTGTAGGTTTGGTCTTTGTTTATAAAAAGACTTCACTTGAATGTGAAAAGATGTATTACAAGAATTTGTTTTCCATTTGTATTACATGGACAATGTAGAAACTGCTCTGTGGCCAGATAAGCATTATTGTTTGAGGGAAGTAGACCCTTAAGCTGTATTTGCAGTGCCTAATGACACAGTCGTGCCAGCGCAAGGTTTAACTTAATGGTTGATTTCTCATACAGGTGACACAAGAGGAAGGTCAGCAGCTAGCACGACAACTTAAAGTAACCTACATGGAAGCCTCAGCAAAGATCAGATTGAATGTAGACCAAGCTTTTCATGAACTTGTCAGAGTTATAAGGTATGATAACCTAAGTCCAAATAATTAGTGTCCCTTCATTAATGGATAGCTTGAGCAAACACACTGAAATGCAGAGGGAGATGGCTGAAAAAAATTCTGCCTGCTGTGAACTTCAGCCAGTATTCTGTGTTCTAAAATTTTCCTGTGTAATGGTAGAAATATCTACGTGAGTATTATGTGTATTTGAAAGAGAACTTTATCACCATAATCAATTCACCCAGGAAGCCAAGCTGTAACATAAATGTGAATATTGGCCTTCTGTAAAGAACAAAACCAAAGTACTATCACTCACTCACTCCTGGTGCTCAAAATTAAGTTCATCCCCTATGCAAATGTAAAAGCGTAGAATTTAAATACAGTTTCTATGTTTATTTAACTGAAAATGGTTCTGTGAGTTTAACTTTGAAATATCTGTTTCTAGGAAATTTCAAGAACAAGAGTGCCCTCCTTCACCAGAGCCAACACGGAAAGAGAAAGACAAAAAAGGCTGCCATTGTGTAATTTTCTGAGAATCCCAAGAGCCAAGCTATCAACTGCCAGTTTATTATTTTTTTTCTTTCCATCATTTTACATCACTTCTGGTATTGGTCTAGCCTTATATGTGCATGTCCTAAAAGTGGTCACCAGAATAGCCTTAGTCCAAGAAGCTGGCAGAATAGTTCTTGAAGACTCGGTCATCTTGGGGCAGACTTCACAACAAAACACTAAGGCTGCTTCTTTAATACCACAGTTCCTTCCTTCTCTCCCTTTAAGAGCTTGCACCTTGTGGAGTTTTATTCGCAAAGGAGATGAAACAAAACCGTGTAGGACAAGGTGTTGAAGTCACGCATAAGTTGTCTCTTGTGAATTAATTTATTTTCACTTCTGATGTTTCGTTAGCTATTACAAAGACCTATATTGAATTACAGAGAATACTTTTAAAAAATGTGGGTGGATTGGCTTTTTTGCCCTCAGTTAAATTAGACTTGAGTATTCAGCTAGCCTTAAGAAACCTACACTGAATTTCATTGTCAGCAAAATTTTTCATCTCTTATTTATGCTGCAGTTTTATTTCAGTGGCCAAAACAGTCTACTGTATTTATTTTCTGAATCCAGAACAGCTACGGGAGGATTACTGCTACTATTAGAATATGGCCAAATACCTGAGCTCATTCTGGATTGAGGCATTTCAGCTTCTTATGAAATTTCACATCATTGTTTGGGGGGCGGGGGGGGTAAAAAGAAAATTGTCTTCCTTTGTATTTCTGGGTAAGGGATTAAGGAAAACTAAAATTGTAGCTGTTTTTTTTTTCATGTGATATAAAAATGAATTTGATCTTTCCATTGTCAGAGATGATTAAATGTTTTTGCTATATACTTTTATACATTATTTTCTTATCAAACTAGTTAACAAGTATTTTTATATGTTTGTAAGCAAATATGCTTTCACAGCATAACTTGTGTATATGTAAAGATGAGTATTTAATTCTCACAGTTCACTTTTAACTGACAAAATGTGGGATTTGCCAAACTGTGGTAAACTTCTCCTTACTCTCCTGGTTATACCCATGAATGGCCAATTATGTGCCTGCCCAACGCACCCATAGAGTAAAATCTAGTGTTGTTTTAATCAATTTCAGTACCCTTTACTAAAGACTGACCATTATGTGAACTATTAAACTGTAAGACTTTTAACTGATTGTTTAGTTAAACCGTGGATGGTTGTTTTAATTTTCAGTTCTGTGGATTGTGTTTAAACAATTCAAGAGTATGTTCCCTGATATTGAAATACTGAGTGGTATTGCACAGTTGTCACCTTACTGAATGTGTCCAACAGTTCTTTGAAACTTGATTATTAAGCAAACCCTTGTATAACTTCAGGTGCTAGAATTAAAGATGATCTAACCATTATCAGGGGGTAAGCATATTGCCTCTTTCTGACTCTTCTAAAACCTGGTTCTTTTTGGAGGGTGGGGGAACGAAGGAGGTGATGGAATCTAATTAGGAGATTAGTGTGCACATCCACACGACTTTCTTCAAGCTTGAAAGTGAAGTCATCTTAATTGTGATAGATGGTAAAAGCTGGCATTTATTTTGACTTAAAATGTGTGATCAGCAGTCTGCTCTACAATTCCACTGTGCTTCCAGCTGTGCTGTCAGGTGCTGTGCCATAAATCTGCAATGTCTGCTGAGAAAGCAGTGTTGAAACAAGTTCTGGTTACCTTTCCTGCAGCCAAGCATTAGACCTCGAAGCAACACTAGAGCCATGCAGAGCAGAGGAATTCAGAGACAGTCAGGCTGTGTAATTCTGAGTTTGAGAGAGTGAGTAGCTCTTCCTTCCTCCCTTGAAGTAAAGTTCCTGGGCAGTGAAAGTCTGCGTATGAATAATGTGTAAAAAATTCAAAGCAGGAGTTATGGTGAAAGTACATTTGGGAGATGGATTACATTTTTCAAGTCAAATGTAAGAAATTACAGCCTGTAGCAAAGATCATGTGTTTCATTGTCTCTAATATGAAAAGCTCTCTGGAGTCAAGTCACTAACTGTAGAGTATTAGAATGAGTTAAGACAACAAATTGCAGCTTGCACATTGAGGCTAAAGCTGTGAGGTGCAAGTATGGTTATTAAGTTTCATCTTATTTTTTTGGCAGCTCGCTCATGAGAGATTGATCTTAAAATAAAGCTGCTGCATATATAAGTCTTTTAATATGTAACTAATTCACAGAGAAAGTGGAGAGCACCACACCCTTGCATTTCCTCGTATGTAAAGCAAAATTGCTTTGAGGTGGTTGATGCTAAGCAGCCTGCTCCTGTAAACACAATAAACTTCAACAAGCTACTCAGAAGTGGGAATGGAAATTTGCTCTGAGAGTTTGAAGCAATGTGGTAATTGATCCTGTTTTTCTGACTTGCCATTCCTACTCGGTAGCATTAGCTGCAACTGGTCGTTGTGTTCAAAGGTAATGAAGGAAAATGCTGCTTCAGTCCCCAGTGTGAGTTTGCAAAGTACAACGGGGACCTTGTTGGCCTTCTGACAGTAGAGCTGACAACAGTAGCTCCAAGCTGTACACCTCGGGCTATTTGTGAATTGACATTGCCACCTGTAGGATAGCATTTCAGATGACAGCATAAAGGAAAGCTTTTTGAGCCTTCACCTGGCAGAAGAAATGCTTAAAGTTGTCACTTTTTTTTGTAGCCGTTTCCACATCTATAAATCATTGAAGTTCATGCTTAATGAGTTTGGGGTGCTTAAAACATATCCATGAACGACCTGCTCCTGCTAGGGCACAGAGAAGAAGGTCTGGGTCTTTGTTTCAAAGCACAAAATAACTCTCCTCGTTTCAGAATCTGCAGCTCCTGAGACTGCTGCTTGCCTGGAGGACTAGGAGTGACTTGCTTATAGGTAAAAGCCTTTTTATAAAATTGGAAAAGTTTTATGGGTTGGTCATCCATAACTGGGGAAGAGCACTTCCCTGTAAGAAAGTTTTAGTTCCGTATCCCTGCTTTGATTAATGGATTTCCTTTCTCTGACTTAAATGTTCTGCATCAGTACTCGTGTACTAGTAACATGCACAAGTAAAGAGGATTTCCAGAGGTACTGCATTACCTCCTCTTAAATCTGCTGCTTTTTGTGGTACGGCCTGTTGTGGTGAAGTAGAACTGCTGGTACTGATGACAATTAGAAAATTACCTTGATTGCACAGGAAAGAGAAAAATAAAAATAATGAGAGGATGACTGGCTGAGTCTGTTTCCAGCCTGCTGCACTGGGTGTCTGCAGGGACTGCCTCCCTGCAACCAGTCAGTCAGTACAGCAAAATTGCAAAGCTGTGTAGGAACATGAAGTGGACGATCCTCCCATCAAAGTTGTTCTGCTATTTTGTCTTTTTTCATTAATAAAAATTTGCACTGTCCTGCAGTGCAGAGTACATAGGCAATGCCCTCCCTCTTCCTGCACAAAAAAAAAAAGGGGAAGATTGCTGTTCCTCTCCCTGATGACACTGATTGTTACCGTTGGCTGTGTAGCAGTGCTCCATGTTTAGGCTGTCAAGCAGGAGGGCTGAAATAGCCCCAGCACTGCAGCCATTGCTGAGTGGGGTTCCCCCACTGTCTTATCCTGTAATGAGCTCATTTCAAACAGAAGATTCCTGAAGTCAGTCACTACTGGCTGAGCACCACCTGAAGTTACCCGGACTTATTGAGAAGTGTGGTGCCTGGAGAAGCTCAGGAATCTGCTAAGCAGTTTCTTTGCTTGCTAAGGATTTGTTCGCTTGATTTAGGCATAGATTTTGGTAGCCTTGTACTGTCCCATGCTCTAGCCTGAGTGCAGGCATGCAGCACATCAGGTGCAGATGTGGGAAAGTAGGACTGCCTTAGCGACCTTTTGCTGGGAAGGCAAAGTGCTTTAAACGAGGAGCAGCAGATTTTGAAAAGACAGCAGACTAAATTACAACGAGAGCATAAATCCCTGAGATGCCATTGCGAATGTGTGCTGTGCTTGCTTTGTGTAGCTGTGCTGGGCTTTTGCAGTGAGACCACAGCTATTTTGGAGAGTTTGAGAGCTTTTTGTGGATGGAACATGAAGAGTAGATGGTGTCCCACACCACAGCTAGATTGGATTAATGTGTGTAATATAATTCGTGGTATTCCTGAGACAGCCCGCAAACAGCGTGCAGAGCTGAATGCATCTTCTTATTGCTGGAATGCGAGTTCTAATCAGCACAGCTACTTTTTAAACTGGATCATGTGAACTGAAGTGGGGTACGAGGAGTATTTGGCACTCATTAATCAGTACTGACAGTACTTCATGCATTATTTTGTTCTTTAAAAGTGCTTCTGACAAGGTTCTGACACTGCAAAGCCCAGGCACTGAGAATTCTAGCAGTATTAAAACCTCTTGGCTCCTCACCTCTGAGTCCTAGACATTAATTAACCCATATTATGGCAAGTTTTCATTTCAGCTGAACCTGGCTGAAGAGTGAATTGTCTGAATGCATCCCACGTTCCTCACGATGAATAAAAATGAATGAACTTACACCAGTGATGTAAATGTCTTATATTCCTTAAAGTCTTTGGTCAAGTTGGCCTTCAAGACCTATCTGGGACCGTGCATCCAGTCCACTACTGAAACAAGGCAAGGTGAGAACACATGGGCAGCTTTCCTCTGACAGCCACAGTGTCACACATTGACTTGCATGTGGCTTGAGGGGGCAATGTCCTCATGGGGCCCTTTGCGTGGAGTTACTGTGCTTACAGGCAAGGTAAAAATGGAATACAGGAAATATAACAAAGCATATAAATAATATGAAAGAGGGCCATGTGTCAGTGCCACTTCAGAGTATTTTGTTCTGTGAAGTCTGAATAGCTAGGGGAAAGGAGAAGCGTTTATAAATAGTTCTGTAGAAATCTGTATGGAAAGAAGGTAGGACGTTTGCAATCCAAAGCACTAAATGCATGTTCAAGTACAATGTCTTAATTTCTATATGGTCTGCCAGAGTTTGGTTGTGTTGGGAATGCAGGAGCAAAACAGAGCTGGTAATGTTTGACTGTCGTCAGCCACACGTGTGGTTTGCATCCAGAAAGTTATCTGAGCAGTGGGAGGCTGTGCATAAGTGAGGGATCTAAATGAGGATTGCTGTTAGTGGGAGGTAAATGCAGTCACATTGTCTAGGTGCCAGTTCTGACATTCTCTTGAGCAGGGAAATCTGAACGCAGTATCAACCGTTGACAGTGGAACAAAATTTGAATATTTCTTTCCTTCCTGCTTCCAGACTTTGTGTTTTCACACCAAGTCCACGTGTGCTTTAATATCTTGTACAGCCTGCCTATCTCTCCTTGCTTCACAGAATGTCATGTTCCTCAACTGCTGGTTTTTGGTCTCATTTTAAAGGGTGTTCATCCCTATCTGTTCTCTTGGGAGACTGAGCCCTTCTGTGTCTCAAGATGATTTTTTGTGTCTGCAAAACAATGAAGTGCTTTGATGCATTTATGGAGTGATGTGTTGACAACACGAACCGATAGCTTCTACTTACAAGCTCATCCCTCTCGTTTGAAAAGCTTTGAGTCATTTTGAGAACTATGTTTTCAAAAGCACTGCTTCCTTATGTAACTTTCTCTTCTAACACCACTTCTGAAATCTCCTGTAATTCCATTTTATGTCCTGGAAGGGAAAGGGAATTGAGAATATCTCATGTTCTGACTGTTTTGGCACATCTTTGTCTTGCCGATTGCTAGTGTGCAAGTTGCACACTGAAGGTGCTCACCTCTCTAGACCAGTTGTCTCTGAACTCGTTTTCTGCTTGCTCTCCTTCTGTAACATGAAAAGGAAGATAGACCTGTTCTTGTTTATCTTAACCGACTTCAGAGCATCAGATTCCCCATTATGACAGCTAGCTGCACAGTGCTATCCACATCTAATTCCACACTTGGTTGGTTTTGTAAGATGTCTGGCAAGACATCCCACGCTGTCAAGTCCTGAGAGCTGGGCTCTCTCACTGCTGATCTCTTGTTCTGCAGTGAGCTGCTCTGTTGTAACCTTATCACTTCTCATGTCTTCGGAGGGCAAGCAGAGAGCAGTCCACCATTTCCTAGTTTTGCCATGGCAGCCATCTGGGTTCTTGTTACCACGCTGCTCTGCAGACAGGTCTGCCGTGCTGTCTCATTTGTTTGCTGTCTGTAAATAGAGAAATCTGTAAGGGTGTCAATGGTTGCGTGCAAAAACACAGCCAAAGGAAGTATTAGCAGTTGTTTGCTTCTGAATCATGAAGGCAGGAGGAGCCCTGGAGGAGCAGCACAGGGAATGACACATATAACACAGGGTGGAGGTTTGAAATACCTTCTGGCTATAAGCTCTGTGCTGGGACCGGTGCCGTCATTCCTACTGGAATTGGAGGAGTGTCTGAACTTTCAGCATCTCACAGCGCTCAGCCAGGCGGTGCTGAGGGCTGGGACCATCCCTTGGGTAGAGCCTCACTGCTGCTGTGTGGTGCTGCAGACACTTGGCCATCCCCTTTTGGAGGTCGGTTGCAGCAGAGGGGTCACTTCGCAATGTAATTTTTCGGATAACTGAGATACCAGTCCTGAGGAAAGAATGCAGTACAAAAACAGAACCAGCAGATGGAGACTGGAATCAAGCTTCTTTTTTTTCCCCACATATTACTGAAGGCTTCTGTAGCAGTCCATCAGCACAGCCTCGAGTTTGTTGTATGCCATTTCCCACATTTAGATACTGTCAGGATGAGCAGGGGATGAAAGCTAACAAGCCAGTACAGGGCTGCTGTAGCAATTAGGACTGTATAAATGGATAAAAGCAGCACGCAGTCCTCTGTGGGACACTGACAGGCAGTGTATATACACGTCTGCCCATTGTTTCTTGGTGGCTGTTGGGAAAGTCATAGTGCTTCAATTTCCTTTCTGTAAGATTTAATGATGCTGACTCCTCTGTAAGGTGCTTTGGGACTGTGGGATGAAGTTGTTTATTATATTGGAAAGAAACTAAAATTGTAATGATTGTAGTAAGGAACCTTTAGAAGCACTATTAGCCTTTTGAAAGAAAGATTAAATACAGAAATATGATGGATACAATGGTTTCAGGCTCTTAACGCTCTAAATGCTCAATTTTTCAGATAAAATTGTTAAGCCCAATTTGATGAGCTTTTGTTTTGGCATGAGAAAAACCAAACAGCAGCAGCCCTCCTTCCTTCATTCCCCAATAGAAAATATTATACTACCTAGGGCACTGCCTTGTGGCATCCCTGGTGTAGATGTGGAGTACCTGGAGCCTCCTCTGCCCATCCCCGTGGTGTGTTGCCTCCTTATGGCTAGCTAAGGATACAGTGTACCTTGCAGCCCCCCAAAAATGGTGTAGCATTTCTTCTCACTCATCTGAAGATATCAGATGGGTACAGAGGTGTCCCCTTGGCTGTCACTGCTGACATACAGCATCTTGTGTTGCTCGAGATCAAGCACAGCTAGGTGCAGAAGCAAGAAATGGTCCATACAAATGACTGAGGCTCTCAATTCCTACATGTGCCAGAAGAGAAACTGAGTAGCTCTAGACTCTGTCTACCTTCTGAGCATCGTCCCATCCAGACAGCAGCCTGAGGGCATGGACAAATCCCTTTGCGTCACTACGAATTAGCGGTGGAAGGAGTCATAATCTTATTGAGGAACTGCTTTGTCTGTGGATGGAAAGCAGTCAGAGCAGTGTGGAGTGGCACAGCCTGCAGCCCTGCGTTGGGGAGCTCAGCCCCAGCCCTCCACTGGGCACACTGACACAAGTTTTGGGTTTGTCTCAGTGCCTTTCCTGTTAGACAGACACTGAGATCTGTCTGTCCTTCAGAGCTCACCTGCTGGCTGTGCTGTATAAAGAGAATCACCTGCAGCTGCACGGAGAGGCATCTCCTCTAGGAGGTGGTTGGTCATGGACACAATATTTTGCTGGGAAATTTCCTGTGCCCCAAACATGTGCTTCCACCCCATTATATTTCAAGAACACCCAACCTGAAGCTGTTCTCTGCTGGGTTTTTTTGACTTGTTGTTGAAGACGTTCAGCATCATCCAGTGACTCAGCAGGTAGTTTTCCACTCCCTTGCAGCATGCTGTACACCAGCACGGAAGGTCAGGGACACAGTCTGTCTGCCTCAGCTCTGTTGCCTGTTTAATGTCTGTGGTAATTTCAATGTCTCGAGGCAGTGTTCTTGCTCAGTGTAGTACTTGCTCAGTGCTCTGTCTGAAAGTGCAGCAGCAGTGAGCCCCAGGGGGGAGCTGATGAAATGAGAAGCCTCTCACTGTTGGCTGTCAAAGAATACGCAGTGAAGGTTTGACATGGAGCATGAAAAAAGAGACTTAGACTGGTCCTACTAGCCTACCAGGAAGGGGTTAAGGGCTTGACCCATCCACCTTCCCAAAATAAAGACGAAATGAAAATACTTGTGGCAAATTTAAGGAGAAAGAGGGTTTAACATGAACTCAGTGGACTGAACAGTGAATGACTAAGTGTGTATCCCACGTCTATGAATTTCTTTCAGCTTGAAACAGGTTCCTTCCACCATGGTGCTGTGGCCATTGCTTTCAGCCTGCTGCCCTCCACGCAGCTTTGAAGGAGAAGCACTCTGGACCTGGTTGTTTGTGACACCTGGGGCGTGCTCACCTTTGTTTCTGATGCTGAAAAACCATTAATAGTGGGATGCAAAATGATGGCATCCCGACCACGTGCACCCATAGGACTCAGAATGGCGATTGTGTTGGAAGGGACCTCAAAGATGATTTAGTTCCAACCCCATGCTGTGGGCAGGGTTGCTGCCTACTAGATCAGACACTACATCAGTTTGCCCTGATAGTAGCGTGGAGTATTGAAAATGGATGGAAATACTTGATCTGATTCTGAGAAAATCACACACACACACACAAAAGAAGCAGGCAGCTGGGGATGAGCACAGGAGAGGGCCACGCAGTGCTGCTTGCTGCCCTGCGTTGTGTCTCACACAGCCAGCCCCAGGCGTGGGAGCTTCTAGCTGCAGGAGCCGTGGTGGATGAGAAACGCGGCTCGTGTCCGGCTGATTGCTGTCTGCCTGAAGGATCCCTGCTGGAAAGAGTCGGGGACGGCAGCGGGTTGGGAGATGGCTGATGTCAGCGCGATGGGCCCGTATCTGTGGCAACCAGAATAAATAAATAAAAAAAAAAAAAAAGAAGAAGAAGCGTGTGCCGGAGCAGGAGACGTGCAAGCTGCCGCTCGCAAGCGCAGCTCCGCCGAATATCTCTTAAGCCGCTTAGCACCGCCGCTCCAGTTCGTTACCTGAGACCCTCCTGCCTGCAGGCGGCCGAAAGCATCGTGGGGTCCGTCCCTGGCAGCTCCCCGTCTCTACCTGCGTCCCTCCTCTGCGCGGCAGTGGTTTGCTCCGTGCGCGCACAACTCAACGCGAAGCAGGCGCTGAATTTTGGCCCCACTGCGCAAGGCCGCCGGCACCCGGCCTGCCTCCCTCCGAGCAGCGCGGAGCCCTGCCTGCTGCCCGCGGGAGGCCGGGGATGCTGGGCGTGCCGTAGCGAGCCGGAGATGGATGGAGTCGGCAGCAACAGGACCATGTCTTACAGCAGGTGGAGTTACAACAGGTATCGTCTATCCCAATTTTTGTTGTCGTTTGGGTACTGCTTTGGCCCTACCGGGGTTATCTCCGGCTCATTGTGCTCGTAGGGATGAACAGAACGATGCTCAGAGAGGTGATCTCCGGTAGCTACGGCTCAGAGCTGGCACCTGGGTGCTTGCCCTGAATCCAAACTCGTGTTTGGGGAAGGATCGTGGCTGCACAGTGGCAGTGCCAAGCAGAGCTGCTGGGAAGGCTGCGTGTGGTCTGTGCACACAGAGCTGGGCCAGGTGTAGCGCTGAGGCAGGTGGCACATCCGTGCTGTGCTGTGTGGGCAGGTGTTCCTCCTCTCCTGGGGAACAATCCTTGCACCGTCAGGTTTGATTCTATGTGATTCACGGTGGTGACTGACAGTTCCTCTGAGCTGAAAGGTGAAGGGAGCAAACTTGGTACTCTTTTTGTGTGTTACACCTGAAATGGAGCCAGATGCATTGTTACCATCAGACTGAATCACTCCTGCAAGCCACCAAAATATTCTGAAGAAATGACCTTTGGAAGTGTTTTCTGGGCTTAAACCTGTGTTCAGTGCCACCCACACTCCCTGGTGTGGGGGTTTATGGCTCATGCATCCATCCAGAGAGTTGCACTTGTTTTCTGTGCATTGCCTCAGCAGAAATACGTACGGATTTCAGCCTCCAGCATGGTTTATTAGCAGCTAATTTCCACTTTATGAAAACGTTCACGATAAATCACAGCCACGCAAACCGATGGCTGTATCATACGTATTATTTTCAGTTGCCTGTGCTGGGAAGCTGAGGAATGAATTGTTGCTTTTCCTGACAGTCTTCCCTTGCTGAAAAAAAAAAATGCTGCAAAGTTGTTCTCGCACATTGACACTGTCCTCCCACACCCCACTCATAGCCAGGCCCATGACAGGAGGAGGCAGTAACCCTTTTTTATCTGAACCCTGACTGCTGCTGCCTGTGATCAGAGCAGTGTCACTGCCCCTTCCTTGGCCTCACTGAACAGGGACAGAGCTGGGGGGAATCTTACTGTTGGCAGAAACACACTTTGGTAATAAGTGAGCGTTGGTTGTGATTGAATGTATAAACTCTCCTTTCTTACAGATGCTTTTGTTTTTCTTGGTGTTACAACACATTGGTCTCAGGCTGGGAGGATGACATGCAGATTCTCCCTGTAGACCCTCGTGGCACAGGAGAGGGGACTGCTACAATGGCAGTGCTGTCAACGGAAGCCACAATATGTCACATCTGTGTCCTGGGGCAGATGGTTTGTGGCAGAGCATTTCAGGATTCTCCAACAATGACTGGGCCCAAAGCTGAGGCAATTGGCAACGGTGCTTTGCTGCAGTGTAAGTGGTGGGCTCCTGTAAGCACAACACACGGCTGTGGGGTTGGTACAGCCAGTCCTCCTGGTGTCCTGAGGTCATTGCAGTCTGACCTGTTAGTGCTGAGAACTGCGGTTATAATCATTAAGCTGAAAAAGATCTCAAAGACCATCTAGTCCAGCTGCCCACCTACCATCATACTACCCACCAAAACGTGTCCCCAAGTACTACATCTCCACAGTTCTTGAACCCATCCAGGGATGGTGACTCAACCGCCTCCTTGGGCGGCCCATTCCAATGCCTGGCCACTCTTTCAGAGAAGAAATTCTTGTAGTTAATTGTATGAGGTGAAGAGATATACACAATTAGGAGAGCCCAGATAAAAAATTTCACCTCAAGTGCTCTTTTCAGTATAGTTGTTGGATTTTTTTGCTTTTTTTCTTGCTATTATTCCAATCTGCAAAGCTATATAAGCGTGAATGTGCAAGATAAACAGGTACAGCACAAAAATGCTCCTAGCCAGTGAGTATGGCATCCCCACATCTCACTGTTGGCTTCCTGAAGGCCAACCCTATGTTAGGCATAACATAAGGTCTGTGCCTTTCTCCCATCTCTGTGCTGTGATGATTTCCTCATCGCTCTGAGAGCCAAAATCAGGGACCAGGCAGCAATCTGGACAAAAACTGTTGATGTTTCGAAGTGCTGGAAGCACTTGGGACTCCTGGTGGCAGCCCACAAATTCCTGGTGTGAAATAATACTGTTCCTATACCTCTGCTCTCAGTGAGATAATATTTCCTGGGCAGCAGATGCTACTCATTTCTATCCAGTATACGTTTCTCCTGAGTGAAAGCTCAGTGGGATGACATGGGCCAACCATTCAGCATAGGTCCTATGTATGGAATCTTTTCTGTATAAACTCATGTCTGTTTACAGCATTGTGCTAATACCCTTAGTTACTTTACAATTGGTGCCTTCTGGTGCCTACGTTTGTTGCAAGAGGAATTTTTACACATAGGTTTTAATTAAAAAAAAAACAACAATGCAGCTCCTATTCCTCAGTGCAAATAAACTATGAGCCCAGATGCCAGGTGAGGCGGCCTATCTTCACACTGCCAGAGTCTGTGTCTGAAACAACGCCTGTGGTTTATCTTACCTGAGAATTGATCTTTGTTTTGTGCAGACTGCCCAGAGCATTTGCTTCTGAAGGAGCCTATGGTCTCTCCCACTTTCTTTCCCTTCTTTCTTTTTTTGTTTTGTGATTTCTGTAGCAACAGAGAAGGCCAAAGAAGAGTGATGTATGTGGCCAAAGCAAAGCATCAAATGAAATATCTCCCTTCCTAGGCACCAACATGGGAATACAAAGTGCCATTTCGTGAGTGTAGGGCCTGGTGGGCTCTGTGTCTTGGCTGAGGGACTCTGTTGGGTAGGAGATTGGAGGAGCTGCATAAAGCCTTACATCAAGGGCACTTCCTTTCCACCTGTCCTCCTTTTATGTCTTGGTTTGAGCTGCAGTTTCTTCCCTTCTTTCTTATGTTTCATCCCTTATGTTTATGTTCATAGCCTTTCTCCCCTATCCATTTTGTTTCATTTCCACGCTCACTTTCTATTTTATTCCTGCATCCATAGTAGATTAACAAATCACCTCATTGTGGTTAATGGAGGTTTTCTCCACCAGCAATTGGAAGTACCTTTTAGTAAGCTCACTCCTGGGATGTTTCAACTCCTGAAGGCAGCTGAAGACTTTCTTTTATTGATCTCTCTTTGCTCTATCCTGGGTATCAGCATTGCTCATAGCTCCCTTTTGAAGCTGCTATTTCTGTTCTGCCTTTTTTTTACCTTGTGTTGAAAAGCTGTTACTGTGTGTTTAGGTCGTGATGTTGAAGGGTTTCCATCTCAGACCTAATTTTTCAGGGCTTTCAACTCCTCTGCCTTGATCTTTTCTGGGACACGCTGTCCTCAAGGAGTAAATAGGAGATGTCCTATAAACTCCCATTCAAAAAGGCTTTCTTAAGGAAACCATCATTCTTCTTTGAAGTATCATCTCTGAAATCATGAAGCAAGTATGCCTTACCTCCCTGGGCTTGCTGTAGTGAGCATGCTTTGACTGCATGGAAGAGCAGAGCAGCTGCTCACTGTCCTTGCAGCAGAGCCAGCTCAAGCTTCATCCACTGACCTGCTCCCAGAAACTGGAGCCACACGGTGCCCTGAACTGCTCTTGAAAGCACTTTCTCTGTCTGCTCTTAGGAGAAGGTAACACATTTCTTAGAAATTAGATAATATCCTTTTCTGTACAGATTCCAGTACTGCTGCTCCTACATCAAAGCCTGACTGTAGCTCCATTTCCAGTCCCTCTGACTCTTCAGGTCTTCTCAGGACCTAAATTCAGCAAGAATTTGTGTGCTCAGGGAGGAACTCAGTCCTTCCCCACAAATGACGCAGGACTTGGCACCCTGTGGGTGAATGCTTGATGTTTCCTTGTCTTGAACACCACCACTCTTTTCTCCTCTACCATCTTGTGTCCATTCAGGTTTTTCTCCTGGGTGCAGGGTGCTGGGTGCTTTTTAATGGGTGCAGCCATTGGTCAAAGCACCTGATGGGACAAGAAGTGAAGTTCTACAGAATGAAGGAAGGGAGGAAATCCAGTAAATCCCAAAACAAAACCAGAATAAAATGTCCACATGGCTGATTAACTTACATTTATCAACCAATGTTGTACATTTAGTCATGCAGATGTGGCACTGAGGGATATGGGTTAGAGGACGTGGTGGGGATGGTTGGCCAAGCAGATGCCTGCAACCTGATGGAGGACAGGCACAGGCTGTGGGTGGCATGGAGGAGCACACAGATGGCTTCTGTTTGCAGAGAAGAAGCTGGAGTTGTTCCTCCTGAACCTTGGCCTGAAAGATGTTATTAATAAGCATTTCAACCAATTGTAAGGACAGTCTGATTGGAGGATGTTTGCTCAGGTACACACTACAACTGGTTTGCTAAGTAAGGAGAAATGAAAAGGAAAATGAAAAGGAAATGAGTAGCACTGGTGAGGGTGGGGGCTATCTTTAACAGAGAAGGCTAAGTATGATAGAGGAGGAAACTAGCAGACACTAAAGAATAGGAGGACTTCTAAGCTTTCTTCAGGACAAATAAATGGCTGAAGACAAAAACCATTATCCAAATGTTTCATGCAGCAGAGAAATATACGCACCGTCTGGGGAAAGTGGAAAATGTTGAAGGCACGGGGAATAAATGCGTAGTTTGTAA